GGCTGGAGTGGGGAAGGCCGGCAAGGGCGGCCCGACCCCCCAGGAGGCCATCCAGCGGCTGCGGGACACGGAGGAGATGCTAAGCAAGAAGCAGGAGTTCCTGGAGAAGAAGATCGAGCAGGAGCTGACGGCCGCCAAGAAGCACGGCACCAAAAACAAGCGAGGTGAGGCGGCCCGGCCCCTTCAGACTCCCCACAGGCTCCCCTCGGGCTCCCCGGGCCTGGACTCCACCTTCGTCAGAGTCGCCTCTGGGTTTGCGCGACCGTGGAACTCTTCCCAGCGGACTTCTTTCGGTGCCTTTCCGGGTCTGGGAACCCTCACCGTCACCGTCGGACTCCCTTCGTGTCTCCCTGAGCCCTGGACTCTTCCACCATCGGACTCATTCCTCCTTCTCCCCTCAGGCCCTGCTCACCCTGCCAGGCCCCTTCAGACCCTGATCTACAGCTCTTTCCTCCGCCCTCACTCCTTTCCTTTCTCTTCCACCGTTTCCTTCTCCCTTCGTCCTCATCACCTTCCTAGCTACAGCCGCTGCCTCGGTGGTTCGTTTCTGCTTCCCACCCATCACTTACGTGCTTCCTGGTCCTACGCCTGCCCTGTCCTGACCTCTCTCTGGAGTCTGTGAGCTGCCTCTGGCCTCTCCCTATCCCCCCCGACCCCGAATTCTCCCTGAGAAACCTTCTGATGCACAGAACAGGGGTTTGGGGGTGGGGACTCCTTGGTTTTCTGTTTGTTTACTTGCTGAGTGAACTTGAGCAAGTTGCTTTCGCTTTAAAAGCCTCGGTTTCCCCATCCATCAGCCTCCAGGAACTTCCAGCTTTGTGATTCAGTTTTCGTTGCTTCATAGCCTGGCCTTATCAGGTTCCGTGGGGCAAGCCTTCATCCTGTGACTCACCGCTTCCCCATTCCTCTGAACCAGAAATGAGGACTCTATGCCTCCCTCTGCCCAACTCCTCTCAGTCCTAACCACTGGGATTCAGGGCTGGGTACTGAACCTTGAGGCACACTAACTTTACTTTCCGTTGTTCTCAGGCTTAATGGGCAAGTGCTTTGTATTTTTCTGGAGTGAGGTGAATGTGAACAGCTGTAAAGCAGCTTAGAACTGTTTTTTGTTAAGGTGGTATGGGAGTGAATCAGAGTAACAACCCTTCTTCCTGAGAAGGCACAAAGGTGAGGGGTTTAGAAGTCACACAAACAAGTAGTTAACTCAGAAGTCTGCTAGTGACGCCAGTGACTAGCTGTGTGACCTTGAGCTAGTTAATTTACCCTTCCAAAGGGAAGATTATGGGTTTACAGCACCCAGCACATAGTAGGTGCTAACTAGATGGTTTCTTCCTTCCATAGAAGAACAAAATAGCCCCATCCTGAGAATGTACCCCTGCTCTGGAAATTCAACCGAGTGCCCAGTGCATGTGCTGTTTTTATAGGGGTGAACAAATAGATTTGCCTCCTAATACAGGAGAGGATAGAAACAAAATAAAGAAAATATTGTCTGGGGTAATAAATACTAAGCAGACAAAAGAGATGATCTAGTAGAGAGTGATAGGGTGGTCAGGGAAAGCCACTTTTAAAAAGTAAAGTTTGAATTGAGCCTTGAGAAGGAGGCAGCTCTGTAAAAATGTGCTGGAGGAGTCTTCCAGGCAGGGAGGACAGTATAGGAAAAGGGCCAGAAGTAAGTGGGTTATAAGAAGCTGAAGCCCCCTGTGTCTGGATTGTAGTGGGTGATGGGGTCTTTGGACTATGTGGTAGAGTTTGGATTTTATTTCAAGTTAGTGGAAAGCTTCTGGGTGTTATGCTGGAGTGTGCCCTCAGTGTTGATAGGGATTTAAAAACATCATCTGATGCTCTTTGGAGAGTTAGGGGTGGAGTGAGGGTGGAAGCAGGGAGACCAGTGAGCAGGTAGTTGTAGTCATCATTTGTGGTCTGGGCTCCAGTTCTAGCTCTGGAGATGGAGAGCAGGGTTATATTTTGCTGTCTCTAGCTTTTTTCCCTGGTGACTCTCCCTCAACCAGGATCCGCTGTTGTTCATGGTAATTAGAATAATTATTTTTACTAGTCTGCATTTTGGAATGCTTCCCCAACTGCAGCGTGGTGGTGGAGGGTGGCAGTTTACCTCATGTCCCATGTGAGAGGGCAATTCTCCTGTGGTCTTTCGGTCTGGAACTAGCTTAGTTTCTGCAAGTTTAGAGGTGATTAAATTGGCTTTCAAGAGGCTTGGAGAGAGGCTGCCAGCTGACTGTGGAGGACCAACTCTGTAATGATAACTGCTGAAAGTAGTCTGTCTTCTTGAGTTTACCTGAGAGCACAGGAGCTACTGTAACCTTCCCTTCTCTTTAGCTTTCTCTGGGAGAAAGGTTTTATCTGCTTGCTAGGATAGTGTTGTAGGCTGCCTCACCACTACTATTCTTTTAGTCTACTTACTAACTCACCACTGTGCTGGGACCTTGAGAATCTGTGATGTTGAAAATATAGTGTCTGCCCTCTGGGAACTCAGGATAAGAAGAGTGGATGGTGTGTGTGTGTGTGTGTGTGTGTGTGTGTGTGTGAGAGAGAGAGAGAGAGAGAGAGAGAAGGAGGGAGGGAGGGAAATTATTATGACAGTGCTAATACATAAGTGTGTTCTTGGGCTGAGGCTGCAGAAGAGGAGGTTCCTGCCTGAAGGGTGGAGGAGGAAGAGGATGGAGAATGTGAAGTGAAACAGCCAGTTGTTTGGTGTGTTTGAGGAGCCATGAGAGTTTCTCTGGTTGGAGTCTGTGGGGTGGGGCTGGAGATAGCTAACACTGGAGAGTGGCCCAGAGCCTTTGGACCTTGACAGCAATGGTGAGGTGCCTTTGATTGTCTTTTAAAGCAGAGAGTCATATCCACTTGGATTTTTGAAAGAGCACGCCAGCAGTAGTTTATAGGAAAGAGTATAGTTTGACCAGGAAGGGGCTGTAGGCTGGACTCTGGCAAGAAATAAGGATAGAATCTCATAGCCCTGGATATGAGCTGCAGCTATTAGCTCTGTGCCTGGGGTAGGTTACTCTGCACTTCAAATTCCTCCTCCTCAAATTGAGGTACTAGGATCTGCCTGGTGTAAATATGTTATGTATGCAAAGCTCTTAGCATAGTGCCTGCCATATGGTAAGTGATCAATACATGCTTGCTATTATCACTATTACAAGGAGACTTGCACTTATTCAGGTAGGAACAAAGGGCCTAAAGTAGAAGCATAAAAACTGGAAGAGAAGAAATATAGGTCAGAGACTTCTGAAGGAGAATCAGAAGAGACCTGGGAATTTACTGGCATTGTAAGAGTGGGCAGGTTGAAGGGGAGAGAGAGGAGTTGAGGCTAATCCCAAGTTTATAGCTTGGGCAACTGGGTGGTTGGTGGATGATGCCATTAATCAGGTTGGAAAACATGGAGGAGGAGCAATACTTCATAATTGTATGGTCCTTTGAAGTTTGTAAAACTCCTTTTATTTGTGTGAGTTTCATGGCACCCCCTGAGACTATGAGCTTGTAAGGCAGGTTGTGATGGTCTTGTTCACCATTGTGCTAGCACCTAGCACAGTGCCTGTAATCCTCAGTGAGTATTTATTGAATAAACAAGATCAGTTTTGTAAATTCTATTACTCCTATTGCGCGGAGAGGAAAATGAGGCTCGAGGGACTGCAACTTAACTCAGAGACCATTTCTCCTGGTGGCTGTGGGTATCTTGTGTTTTGTCTATTCCCATGATTGCCAAAGGCATCATTGTAGCCTTCATCACCATTCAGCTCATTAAACACCCACCTGCGCAAGGTGTGGTGCTGAGTTGGGAAGAAGGAACTGAAACAGGACCAGTTGTAGGTAAACATGGATGGTATCTTTGTGGTATACACATTGAAAAGATGATAAATCATCCTTTTTTCTTTTTTAAGTCTATTTATTTCTTTCTGCCATGAATGACAGAGACCCAGGGAGAAACAAAGAACTCACTTCACATTTTTCTTTCCTTTTTTTAAAGAATTATTTTATTTAACTTTGTCCATTTATTTATTTTAATTTGACTAGAGAGGGATAGCATGAGAGAGAGAGAGAGAGAAAGTGAGCAAGCAAGCCACCAGGTCCAGGACTTGAAATGTAGTCAGCCATGCAGGAGTCCAGGGCCCCTACCCACCATGCCACCTGCTGGCCCCTCTTTTTTTTAAAAAAGAAATTTGTGATAGGGCATGTATACTTCCCTGAGAGAGATAAGAAAGACAAAGAGAGAGAGTGGGAAAGCAACCCCTAGGGGGGATGGCCACACCACAGTCTTCTCTCAAGGACTTCTCCAGCATGTTTTTCAAGCTACTGGGTCTGGCACTTAAACCACACAGTCAGCCTTGTGGGATCCAGCTGCCTCAACCAAGTCATGGGCTGGCGTTCTCTCTCTCTCTCTCTTCCTCTCTCTCTCTCTCTCTCTTTTTTTTTTTTATAAATCATCCTTAGAAACAAACCTCAGAAGCTCAATATGGAGGTGTGGTTTTAGGTCAGCACCTAGAACACAATTTATATTGCATGTTTCTTTTCCAAATATCTTTTTTTTTTTTTTGGGAGAGATTTTTGCTACAGGGTGCATACACTCACCAGAAAGACAGAGTGACAGAAAGCAAGAAATCACCTTCCAGGGGGATGACCACACCACAGTCCGTTCTCCTCCATTCTCCTCCTGGGATCTTGGGCATGCATGCACACATGCCTGGTGGGAGTTTTAAGCTACCGGGTCTAGGACTCAAACCATGGTTGGCCATGTGGGAGTCCAGTGATATAACCACTTCACTGTCTGCTGGCCACTCTTTTCCAACTATCTTTTCCTTTTTTTCCAGTCATGTATTTATTCCTGAGCATGTAGCATACTTTTTGCTAGGTCCTGTCCTGGGTGCTGAGCATATAGAGATGAAGTGACCTGGTCTCTTCCATGCAATACTGTTAGGAAACATTATTCATCTCACGTGGCTATGGTGAAGATTAGCTAAGATAATATGTGACAGGCTGGCAGGTGGTGTGGTGGTTAAGGTGCTGGACGCCTACATGTCAACCACGGTTCAAGTCCTAGACCTGATGGCTTGCTTTCTCACTTTCTCTCTCTCTCTCTCTGGTCAAATTTTAAAAAGAAAAATAATAAATAAACATGAACAGATAATTCTTTAAAAGAAAAAAAGAT